GATTCATCAAATAATACTTCGCAAAAAACAAACGGGCTAGCCGCAAACGTCCGTGCCGTATAGCGTGAATAACCCTGTATATTGGATTAACAAATTTGCTAAAAAAAGTAAAGAACGGTGGTGCACAGTGGAGACAGACAATATTTAAACATCCCGCACTTTCAACAGTAGCTGCTTTATCACATAAAATGTTATCAAACTTGATTTCTTTAGAATAAGACGCTATTATTAGTTGGCATGTGTATTTTGAGAAATCAATCTTCAATTGATAATGTGGTGGAAAAATGTCTAATTTTGTACATGTTAAACTCAACAGCAGACGCAGATTATTTGGGGTTGGTAAAAAATCTTGCACTGGATTCCTTGTTAAGAAATCGCTGATGAAACCATCTTGCACATCTGCTTTTAATGTGGCTGGCTTGTATTTGCTGGGCCTCAGAGTGATGAAAGTAACCACTTTTTAGATCGCATCCTTTAAAGGAAAATGCATCGTTACGAGTCTAGTGAAATTCTGCCGATAAATCTTTGGCGTTTTTTTTTATTTTGTCCGTCGTAATCGGCCATTCAATTTGGTACCACGTAAGTGAGATTTTAATTAATTTTCCTTCTTATTATTGAACTGATTGCTGTCGATTATTGTCAAGTTTTCACATCGCCCCTGTATTGAATTACTAATTATTGCATTGGAACTATTAATGAGTTTAATTGTCATTGTAGTATCAGTGTGATTTTCGCGGTCGTTCCGCATCGACTTATGAACGACCGATGAATGCCGGCGTTTCAGTCAGCGCTCGTTATTCTTGCGATTCAGGTCGGTCATCCATCCATCGTCCGATCTTCATCCGAAACACATTAAAAATAAATACTGACCACTGCATTTGAAATTATACGTTGGAGAACCAGTGTTTTTCCTATAGGTAAGTCGAATGAGCTGAATTTTATTTCACTTTTATTTAAAATTTTCAACACTTTATGGATCCTTCACCTTAGATCAATGGCAACTGCAGATCTTTATATTTATTGTCAGGGTTATCGACATTTAAAGAACAGACAATAATTTTCGTTAAAATAGTTCTGCTTTGACGGAATTTACTAGAGAAACAAACAAAACAAAGTAGAGTATTACGATTATCACCGTTTCAAAAAATATATTCTGTTCACATTTCAGTTGCTCTATAAGTGGATGTAACGTTATCCTTTAACAAACGAATGTAGGGCATCAAGCCGGAAACCATAATTTTCCCTAAAATTACTTTCAGAACCATCAACCCCTGTTAAAACTTTACCATTTTAATAGAAACCTCACTTAAGGCTAAGAGTAGTTCTTACTTGATGGTAAGATTAAAAATTTTCGCATGCATTAAATTCATTTAAAGTTAATTGAAAATACACAGGCATTTAACCGCAAGTTTCACTCGAGATTAACGTGATTTTTTAAAACTGTTTACTCGCAAGACGCAAATTGGATAATTCGTTTATGGCGCTAGTTATTTCAGATAAACCGTGCAATAAATCATAATATGCTTAATAAAGGTATGAATTTTCTATGTTCAAATCGGCTCATTGTCCTTAAAAAAATCATTGTAGAATTTGTGTTCCAAAAAGTTTTCAGTTCGATTAAGTAGAAATGTATTTAAAACTGGCTGGCAATTGATGATAATAAAACAAAAAAGTGCAACAAATCAATCATATTGAAAATAGCAACAAATTAAAAAGACATAATAGTATCAAAAAACGCAGTATATGATATAAAAAAGGCAGTTGCAAAACTGTGGTTTTCATTTTAATGATTTGTTAGTCACTTCACCCAAACTAACTCACAGTTGCACCATGCAGATTAAGAAAACAAGGAATTTTGAATTTTTCCTTCACTCAATGTTTAGATGCAATTCATATTAATGTAAGTAATTTTAAATAAAAACGAGAATCTAAAACTGCCAACAAAAACTGCTTTATGGACCACTTTGACAATGAACAACATACATTTTATTTTAATAAAACAAAAATAATTGACAAACTGCATACAAAAATCGATTGATCAGTTAGATAGTGCACAACCAACAGTACTGTCACAGTACCTATAATTAAAAAACAAGATATTGAAAGGTTGTCCCTCTCTTACCTAAATATAATTAAGTTGACAACATCTAAAGTATCAATTTCAATATCAATATCAAAAATTAAAAGGCAAATCGTTCCTAGATACATATGTACGTTCAGTCGCCATAAAACAAGCGGACCGTGTAGGTACTGACAGTATTCTCTTGCTGAATGCCTTTCAAAAAAACCAAAAAAAAAATATATGTCATTTGTTTAAGAAAAATACCATTACATATTTGTACGTAACAAGCTATAGCTAAGGAATGGTTCTAAATTTAAAACCCAAATTTGGTAGGTAGTTAACTGAAAGAAAGCTCAAGCTAACGCCCAATGGTTTCGGCATGGCTCGTTATAAGCGGAAACAAAATTTGAAGTTTCTAAAACCACTGTAAGTTGGAAAACTTCTAATGCACGGTCTACGTAAATCACCCTGTATATTACTTAAAGTTAGAATAGGAAAACTGCCAATAAATTAGTTCAATTTATACTGATTATAAAACTAAGATTCCAAAAAAATATCCTGAAGGATTACATACCAACCAGACAACCAACATTCAAACTTGAAGGATACTGAAGATGAATACATTTTGGACCGAAACTTTGACAATGAATCCCAATGGTTTTACACTGTTCAATTCAAACGAATTTCAAGACTCAATATAATTATCTAGGTCACTGGAAAATAGCTAATCAATGTACCTACTTAACTGAAAAAGTATTTTAAACATATGCTGCTAAAACACAATACATAAATTTGAGAAAGCGACTTGAAGTATCTCTTGAAAAATTGCCACATCATTATTTACGATTTGTTGCGATTTATGAGAGGAGGTGAATTTCAAGTAACCAATTGAACTTGATTTGACTTAATAAAGCGCTTATCGCTTAATCTTATCGCGAAGCCGGCTTTGAGTGAAAAGTTCAAGATTTTTAATGTCTAATAATTAATTAAGTACACTCAAAAAGATGTGAGAACAAATATTTGTTCAGTCCAGGTTACAAAAACTTAGGATTTCTGGGTATGTTTATACGTGGTTTCTTGTCTAAGTTTTACACTTTTTTTCAGTTTTTTTTTCATACTTTCTACATAGCGGAGAATGGTGGGTTTCCGACTTTAAATTAGATCATTATGTGCAACGTTCAGGGTTAAGGGCAAAACTTAACTTGTCTTCCGTCTCGGAAAAAAAAATCAAATTGATGCACTGGACTGATTTTAATCTAGTAAATAAAGCGTATGAACCAAGAGTGGATTTTCAATTTAAATTGGAAATAATTATTTTGGTATCAATGGTATGGCATGAAACATCCACTAATTGTTTTTCCCTATTTAGCAAATGTTATGTTCTACATTTCAGCGCGATTTCATTTCACTTCGTGGTCATTAACATATTGCAATGACAAGTTTTGCATCGAATTGAAATCAAGTCATAATATTTTGATTTTTTAATGCGATTATTCAATATTAGAACAATCAAGGTTAGGCAGAAGCAAACAATTAACAAATTCATTTGTTTAGATTAACATTCAAAACTAATGCTTTTGATTCCAATATGGAGGGTCAAATGAATATTAATATCCAGGGTGAATTACAGTATAATTAGGTGTAGGAACAAACTGTTACATTTTTCAACAACTCTTTATCACCCTGCATTTTCATGAGAAACATTTTTTTAGACATTTCTTCTTACCACACTATCATTATTTTTTATCGTATCGTACGTTCATGTTCGGTCACCTTAAACACTAGAAAATCTAAACTGATATTACAATTTACGATTATATAAATAAGTTTTGATAGTTTACTTGATATTGGTTTATATTTTATATTGATATTTGATTTTAATATTTTGCTTTTATAGGAAATTTGAGTCGAATTAAACTTACTTAATTTTTAGAAGCAATTATTTTTCAGTTAAAATTACTATAAATATCTATTCCTACATCATTTTTCTACACTTAAATATTTAAGTAAATCTCGCTAAATATTTGAGAGAAAACTAACGGTTGCATCTGCACCCACTGTTTGTTTATTATATTTCTGCACGTTCTGCTTGCCATCGTAAAAGCAGACTTACACTTTCTTGTTAGTATGATGCTTCAGTAATGTTATTGATTTAAATCATAATATTCATTACTACTGTATCTTTTAGGTTTTCATATTTTTTTCATTTCATTATCATTCATTTCACATTTAGTTTCATTCATCTTTTTTGGTCTGTTATTAAGTATATATTTGTAATTTCCTTTGTCCATAACATGAATGCGTCTGTGGCAATAAAGCTTATTTAGATTCGATTTGATCTGTTCATGCCATTATACATATACATGGGTTTACGTTTAAATTGAACAAATCATTTTATTTTCTTATATCTCTCAGAGTTATTCAGATATTTGTTTCAATTTTGAAACATTGCTAATTTGTAGATAAGTTCTATATTGTTGAGGCGGATTCATTTTTTTACAAACTTCTTTTTGGGTATTTCGCCTCAAAAATTTTTGTCTATAAAAAAGACAGAATTTTCTCACGTCTTTTATTACAGATTGATAAATAGTGCTCCTATTTCGCAATAAGAACGAATTATTTATCAATTTTTGATTACTTTTTGATAAATAATTCGTTCTTATTGCGAAATAGGAACACTATTTATCAATCTGTAATAAAAGACGTGAGGAAATTCTGTCTTTTTT